TTATTCACTACAGAAAGAAAAGAAGAGCCACTGTAACTGAGTCTGCAAGAGTGCATGTTGTATCCGCAATTCATTGCGTGTGATTCGCTCTTGCCCTGCATCAATTTCTTAGTGCGCAGGACCGTCCTTGTCTCTGTGGGTTGCTAGTTCCCCCTGTTTCTACAAATTGAATCCTGAAAAATACCAGGAATCCTGAAAAGATAATTGGCTAGGGTGTGACGTGAGCCTGACGTGTGTGTGATGTTGTTTTTCCTCCTGCAGCAGTACAAACGTGCTGGACAGCATCGCGATGCAGTGTCGCGACCCACAGATCGTCATCCACTGGAACGCGCTTAGTGATGCCACCCATGCCGCGATGAAGCTCAACATCACGTCGCAGGGCTACGAGACGATATGCAGGTACGTGGTATGAGGTCGCAGGGCTACGAGACGATATGCAGGTACGTGGTATGAGGTCGCGGGGGTACGAGACGATATGCAGGTACGTGGTATGAGGTCGCGGGGGTACGAGACGATATGCAGGTACGTGGTATGAGGTCGCGGGGGTACGAGACGATATGCAGGTACGTGGTATGAGGTCGCGGGCGTATGAGATGATATGCAGGTACGTGGTATGAGGTCGCGGGGGTATGAGATGATATGCAGTGTATGCGGTATATGCAGTACAAGACGACGTGACTGTGTGAAGGTGCCAAGTAACTGTCTTACTGTGTGAATGTGTCCAGTAACTGTGTCTTACTGTGTGAATGTGTCCAGTAACTGTCTCTTACTGTGTGAATGTGCCCAGTAACTGTCTCTTACTGGCTCATCGTTACTGTGTTTTAGAACATCACTCGCGATTCACATCCACACTACATCAGTGCGCGTTATCTACAGGGATGGCCGCATCGTCAAGCTATCACACGAACCGCACGAACTCACCAACGTGCTTCTGGGTGTGGTAAGCATCTCTTCTTGCCATCTCAATGTCTGCATGTGAGCCTGTTCTGGTACCAAAGTATAACTACACGGTATGTCAGGGGTAGAAGTTAACTTTTGAACAAAGGAGTCCAACGGACACCCTACCCTCAAAAAGAGGGAGTTTGCAGCAAAATGAAGGAGTCCGCAGCAAAAAGAGGGAGTTTGCAGCAAAATGAAGGAGTCCGCAGCAAAATGAGGGAGTCCGCAGTCTGAAGTTCAAAACTAAAGCTTAACAACAATAACGCATGTGCTTATTTTGAAGATTCGTGCAATGCACGTCTGCCAAATTTTCCTTTGGACATTTGCTGTAAAAATACGGTAATTCCACGAGGCCGTGCTCTGGAACGAACTATAGTTAGTATAGCAGAATTTTCAGGGAGTCACTCGGACTCCTGTATATGTCAAATCAGGGAGTTCGTCAGTAAATAAGGGAGTATTTGACTCCGGACTCGTGTTAATTTCTCACCCCTTGTACCCTGTCTACGTACAGCCCTTCTGCCTCGCACAATCGACAACATGCAATGTTATATATGTGTGAATGTCCATGTAGAGGAATTGAGGATATGATAGTATAAAACTCCTTGTCTTTGGTGTAAATATTTATAGCATAAAAAAAGTTTCGAGCAGTTTGAACTATGATCAAGACTGGATGGTTGATAATCGAGTTCTTTTAAGGATACACTCAGCGCTGCATGTGAAATTTCATTGATTTTTCATTCTTATTCAATTGTTAACACTAGGTGTCACCTCTGTACATACTTATTTCGCCATATACCGATGCATGTGATCTTTCAGTGCGTATTGATTGCCCGTCTACATACGTGCGTAGTAAGCTGTGGTCATTTAAACACACATGTACATGTGGTTGTGCCAGAATCATCAGCATGATCAGCACGAACCTTCCTACAACCATGAACGGCCAGTGGTTGGAAATAACATTTATACCTCAAAACAAGAGACCGTGTTTGTTGATGCGTAGCTTAGTGATGTCATGTAGTACACAGCGTTTGGTCATTTTGCATCTAATTGCGGGCACAATTGCGTGCAAAAGCTCGAGTGTATCCTTAAATTGCCATGATCATATCTATCGATTAAAACTTTACAGGGACCAGCAACACGTTTTAGTGCCAATTGTAATGATACTCAGCATGGAAAATTTTGATTTTTGTTGACTTGAAGGATCGGTCATTCATTGCAGGTATCAGTACACAACATCAGTGCACTACAGAGTCTTTCGAAGCTCATGAGCTGGCAGATCCTCTCTACCTGCATGAACCTAGGAGTTGGCGAGGTTGAGGCACTTGGTAATGCATCTGCTGTCGTCATGGCTTCTCCGTCGGGAGAGAGGTATAGCCAATAGCACGCGTTGCTGCATTTGTTAGTAGTGACAGCACCTATATTTAATTACACTAAACTTTTTAACAAATTTACGATACAACAGTGTTATACTTGTTTCTATTTTGCACAAGTAATTGTATGACTAATATTGTCTAAGAACAATCTATAAAAATGGAAACCTTTTCTGAAATGGTGAAATGCACGTAAATGCGCGGTATTCTGTCTGCTATGTAATGAAATAAGAAGCACTTGAGTGCCAGTTATGTAGTGAAGCCACCTCTATAGAACAGCCACCTGTCTATAAATGCTGATTTTAGCGTTTCCCTCGATTTGCCATTATATACAGACTCGACTGTATTTCAGGATAGTAGACATACTGACGCATTGCACTTTGCATTTTCAGGGTGCTCGCGATCAAGAGCGGCCCTATCAGTGGGGTGCGCGTCTACGTACAGGGTCTCCCAGGCAACACAGAGCAGCGACGCCAGCACCTTG